TATATATATATATATATATATATATATATATTTTTTTTTTTAAAATATACTAAAATATGAACACTTTGATTACCTTCAAGTTGTTATTCAATTTTAACAAAATTTGATATAAACATATAAAGTGATATGAACATTCAATCTGATGGTTGGATTTACAAAATTCACATTTAATATAAAGTTATTGAGCAGTGTAATACTTAGTAAAAGTTACACCTGTGTTCTCCTCATGTCCGGCGTGACTCATCCAGAGACCTCCATCTTAATTTGCACCCGGCGCGACTAACCTCACGCCCAACGTGAATTTGAAATGGTTGCCTCTGATGAATACACGTCCGGCGCCAAGAACTACTCCTGGCGCAAAGAACTACGCCCGACGCAAATTTAAACAGCAGTCTCCAAAACTTTGAAAATTTCCTCCAACACCTGATCAAAATCAGCAAATCCAACCACATGCAAACCAAGAAACACAATGCATAGGCTCCATACAACTTGAAAGCAAACTCAGATTCAACATACACTCATCTGATGCATCAAAATCACCAAAAACCTTTTTTTTCCCAAAACCCCAAAAAGTGAGAATTTCGTCAATCCAACCACGGATTCTCCAAATTCATGCATCAATTGAGTTCCTAAACTCACATGCAGCCAAACAACATACATTTCTAGCTTCCCTCACCTAAGAATTGGCTAAAGATGGCCAAGAACTAAGAAGAAGAAGAATTTCCTCCAAAGCTCGACTCCCAGACTTCAATCCTCCAAAAACAAGCTTCCTAGCCTGAATTTCATGAGAAGATTGCAGAGATTAGTAATCTAGAAGAGAAGAGGAAGCAGACAGAGAAATTTGGGAGAGAAAGAAGCTCACGGACCCAGAGTCATTCTCTCTAAAACTTTTCTCTAAGTTTCTTTGAGAATGAACTTATGAAGTCCCCTTCTCAGAAAAACCCTTATATATTGTCCTTTCTAGAGTCAACTAAACTCTAAAATCTACTCACTACGTCACATTTACTTATACTAACAGATTCACATCCTAGGTTGTTATAAAGTTACTATAGGATTGACATGGTTAGTAGGGGGTAGGTAGTATGTGACCACCATTAGACCATCAATATATATCGAAACTTGTTGATTTGGTGCAAATATGAAGGAAGATAACCCGATGCTTTGGAATGTCATTGAATTTCCAATAGCATCTACTGTCCAACTGGTACCAGGAAATATAGCCGAAGTAACTACAGTGAAAGGTTCATGTATAACTGGTAGATCCATTTCTTTAAGATTTTAAAAGATACGTACATATATTAAGAACAAATAAACAAGAAACACAAAAGAAAGGAGCAAGTGAGAACATTTATCAAATAAAATTAATTAATTAAGAATATATATAAACATTTGCATATCATTATTAATCACCAATTTAGAATTTTACTCCATGGAAGGATTTGAATTGCTTTTGTAGTGATTAATTAGGATAAATGAGTTTAATCATGATACCAAATAATACAAGGATATTTTTCCTTAAATATTTACTCATTTAAATCCCCAAGATTAAACCTCTCACTACAAATTAATTCAAACCTATTGATAATTTATTATAAAGAATTAAAATTTACATTTACTACTATTTAAAGATATATATATATATATATATATATATATATATATAATTAGATAATAAAGTTAGAAATATATTTAAACTGAATAAATGATAGTTAAGATTAATAGAAAATAATTAAACAAAATGAATTAGAGACACCTCATTAATTAATTAAAGTTAAAATTAACATACATTATTGAACAAGTAAGATGAGGTTATGACACTTCACCAAATAAATATAGATAAGAATGACTTGAAGTAGACAACTAAAATAATGTAAAAATTTAAAAGAGATAAAAGGTTTCTCCCCATACCTTAATAGAAAAGTAAAATCGAGTAAAAGAAATTTTTCCTTGTTTTTTCTTCCTCTTATTCTTTTTCTCTCTTCTTTCTTAATTCTCTTTCACCCTCTTTCAAGTCCTCTTATACATTCATTCCTTCCCATAATCTAATGGTCCTCCACTCATGCCTATTTATAGCCAATTTTGTAATGATTATCATTAGTTGAATTCTAATAATATATATTTTAGTTACTTCATATTTACATGAACTAGTTACTCTACATTAAATACTTTGGATAAGCATTATCTTATTCTTCTGAAATAATTTTGCAGTATAATTTTTTCTATAGAATTCTATTATTATTATTATTATTATTATTATTATTATTATTAT